GAACGAAAACCCACTTGTACCCGACAGGTTTCACAGCTTCAGGTGTGATTACGATAGGTCCAAATACCTCTCGTTTGTTAAGAGAATCAAGCTCAGCTTGTATTGCATCCTTCCATTTCATCCAGTCGTGTCTCTTTTGACATTCTGAGATAGATTTTGGTTCAGGGTCATCACTTTCTTCATTTATTTCTTTTGACACAAAGTACGAGAAAATATCATCGACACCATTCACATTATTTCGATTCCATATTTTTCTATTGTGAATGTAGTTAATAGAAATCTCATGATTTTCTTCAGAATCATGATGTCCAACACTGTTATCAACCTCATGGTTCATTTCTTCCGGTCTTTCTGTTGCATTGGATGGATTTTGCTTTTCCATTTCCTTTCGTTTTCTAGGATTTTTATCCTTAGAACCAACAGGTCTACCACGTTTCAAACGTATTTTTGATTCTCGTGTATTATCATCTGCTCCACGCTCATGTGGCATTTCAATACGAGAAGGAGCATTTGCAGCGGGTATATGTGATTTTGTTACCGTTTTGGTGTCTGCAAATGCATCAGGTAGTTGATTTGCAATGCTTTGCAAATGCATAATTTGACGAACTTCTAATTCCGATTGTTTTGTTGGAGGATCAAGGTGTAGTAGAGATGGCACACACCATTTTATATCTTTTTCTACTTGTTTATTTTCTCCTCCTAGAACTGGAAATACTTTTTCATCAAAGTGACAATCAGCGAAACGTGCTGTAAATACATCACCAGTTTGTGGTTCTAGGTAACGTATAATTGATGGAGAATCACAACCAACATATATACCTAACCTCCTTTGAGGTCCCATCTTTGTACGTTGGGGAGGTGCAATTGGCACATATACAGCGCAACCAAAAACTCTTAGATGAGAAATATTTGGTTCTCGTCCAAAAGCTAATTGTATTGGTGAATATTTGTGATATGCACTTGGTCTCACCCGAATTAGTGCTTCTGCATGCAAAATAGCATGTCCCCACACAGAGGTTGGGAGTTTAGACCTCATGATTAATGGTCTTGCAATCAGTTGCAGACGTTTAATTAATGATTCAGCCAAACCATTTTGTGTATGAACATGAGCAACAGGATGTTCCACATCTATTCCAGTTACCATACAATAATCATTGAATGCTTGGGAAGTAAATTCACCAGCATTATCTAGTCTGATCCTCTTTATTGGATAATCAGGAAACTGAGCTCTTAGTTTGATTATCTGAGATAAAAATCTCGCAAATGCCACATTTCGAGAGGATAATAGACAAACGTGGGACCATCTACTCGACGCGTCGATCATTACCATAAAATAATAGAATGGTCCACAAGGTGGGTGTATAGGTCCACAAATATCGCCTTGAATTCGTTCAAGGAACTTTGGTAACTCTTTATCTATTTTGGTTGGCGATGGTCTTATAATCAACTTTCCTAAAGAACACGCGGTACATGTCATTTTATTCCCCTGATAAACTTCTTGGGGTTTCAGTGAATGACCATGTGCGTTCTCGATGATCTTTCGCATCATTGTGGTGCCTGGATGACCAAGACGATCATGCCATAGTGTAAAGTCATCAGAATTTCTCTTAATCACCAAATGTGATTCGATGGCACTTATATATGTTTGATGCAGACCAGAAGGGAGTTTTGGTAGTTTTTCCAACACCTTTTGCTTTCCCGATTTCTTAAGAATAATGTNAAAAATATTTTCTGTGTTTAAGAATAGTGTGCGTTGTTCCACTATCTGATATACAAATATCTCTAGCATTGATCTTGGTTGATGCTCCGTTTGTAGTGTCCATTTCTGAGACAAACAAAGAATTAATAGAGATAAGATAATCTTATTCATAAAATATTATACATCATTAGCAAACATCAAACACGCAGTAATTATACATTAAAATATGAAAATCACACAATAATTATACATTAGTCTTCCACAAGCAACATTATTTATGGTATAATTGTGGAATTTCAAGAGTCACATGATGGGTGCTTATTCTTCTGTGATAGCGGTCTCCTCGAAATCATTCACAAAGTCAGACGCATCCAGGTGCGTTGTACCTTCAGAAGTTTCCGCAAAGTTAACCTCTTTACCCTTTCCTTTGACGGAATCTTTGTATAAAGCACATAGATGTGGAGGGGTACGACATACACGGGACCAATGTCCCTTAGTACCGCATCTGAAACAGGCTTCTTCTCGCTTCTGAGAAGTATTTCCTTGGTGTTCTTTTCCCTTAGGGGATTGCTCAGAGCGGATCCATTGGAATGACTTTCTGTCCTGTGGATTGTACTTTTGTCCACGTCCACGGTAGTTTTGACGACCACGACCACGGCCACGAAAAGCCTTATTTTCTTTCACTGGTTTCTTTGTATCTAATGCATTTGCTTCGGGAAGCGCTTTGGAACCAGTTGGACGTGTCATGTGATTCTTGATCAGAAGCTCGTTGTTCTTTTCTGCTACGAGAAGCGCCACAATCAAATCCGAAAATTTGGTATATCCCCGCAACCTATATTGTTGTTGCAGGGTGATGTGGCTCTTATGGAATGTGGTATATGTCTTCTCAAGCATTTGAGACTCGGTGATTGTTTCTCCACAGTATCTCAATTTAGCCATAATTCCTAACACAGCAGAATTGTAATTCATCACTTTGTCGAAGTCTTGGAACCTCAGATTCTGCCATTCATCTCGAGCAAGTGGAAGTGTTATGTCTTTCTGATGATCAAAACGATCTTTCAGACACTTCCATAGCTCTTTAGGATCTCTCATGTTGGCATAGTCATAAATAATACTTTCATCAAGGTGTCTTCTAAGGAAGATCACGCTAAATCGGAAAAGAACTCCGCAACTTCATAATAAGAGAATAATGGTTTCAGATAAACCAAGAGATGCAAGATGAAGTTCGACTTCGGTGACCCAAGAAATGTAGTTGGTACCGGTGATGTCTAGAGCGGGAAATTGGAGCTTCTCGATGTTTGCCATTGATTTTCTAAGGCACAAAATAATAAATTTTATTAGAATTTCATAGATTTTAAAATGAACCGTTTACATTAATAATACAAGCAATTACAAGAAAAAACAATGCATATAAAAATAAACTAATGTTAATGATAAAATTTTCATCATTAACTCCTCCAAGAAAAATAAGATACAAAGACACAAAAATTAAAATCGCACACAAAATTAAAAACAATCGAGTCATTTTTCTTTTAAGCAAAAATCGGAATATTATTTAAAGTACTTGAGCGAAAGTGAAAGGTTTTAGTTTGAAGTGAATGAGTGAAAATGAGTTGTATTTATAGATGAAAAATACTGTTCATTAGCCGTTAACTAGCCGTTTAAAAAGTAATTTTTTTTTTTTTTAATATTATTGTGCAAATTTATTTATGACCGTTGGAAGTAAAAACAGAAAATTAAAATTAATCAAAAATTATTAGTGAGTAAATATCAAATTTATTAGTTTAAACATATATATAAATATTTGTGAAATTTTATATATATTTATTTATATATATGGTGATAAAATTATCTATCATATTTTCAAAGTGAAATGTTAAGGTGTTGATCATAATAATAAATTATGATAACAAAGTTATATATTATAAAATAATAAATTAAAAGTTTAGGCGCTATACCGGCCATTATGGTGCCTTAAAACAACCATTATAAAATTAGAAATAAAATTTTGGGGCGGCAGAGCCGCGCTCCGGTAATAATAAAGTAAACAAATAAACAACGGGGCGGCAGCGCCGCACTCCGATGACAATAAAGTAAATAAAGAAACAGAGGGATATCAACGCCGCACTCTGGTAACAATTCATAATAGCAATTATAAAGATAGAGTGATCGTGCTGATAACGTGTTATAATTATATTACTTTATTTTATTTATAATACGTATATTATATATTTTCATTAGTTATGAAATATAACTATATATTACTGAATAATAGAAAGAGATACATAAAGAAGTATATTATAGAAAGAGATAGACGAAAGATGTAGTACCTTTCGTAACTTATAAATGAGAGCAATACACTCTTTATATAGAAGAAGAATTCGACAAATTATACTGTGATAAATAAATGATATGGGCTCCACTTTAATTTTCTTACGCAAGATATTGACTTTTGTAACATATATATATATATCGAGTAACAACTTAATTGTTCAACTTATTCAATTAAATATGAGAATTCGACTAAAAAAAACAGGAACTTTGCACGAATTGCCAAAAGAAACATGAACTTTTAGGCTGACAAAAAAAACACAAAAATTTCATTGACTTTAGAATTAAATAATAAATTTTCGTTGATTTGTCAATTTAGCACGCCGTCAACAAATTTAACAAAAAAAATTTGACGTGTCGTAAAGTGAAACGACGTTGTTTTCAAATGAGATGAAACGACGTCTTTTCATATGAAATTGAAAACAAAAACATGTACACCCGCAGATTCAAACCCGGGTTGATTTGGTCAAATGACAAGGCATTTTCTTTGAAATTTTTAATTTTTTGGAATTTTGAAAAAAACTGAAAATTTTGGAAGACTTTTGATTTTTTAAAGAAAAAATAAAATTTTATTTTTTTATTTTAATTTCAAAATTAATTTATAAAAAAAATCTTTATTTCTTCAACTTTTTGAAATTTTAAAGATCTTTTTAAGTTTTTAGACAATTTTTGATATTCAATCAGCACCAAATAAAATTAAATGTGTTAGTAGTTACATTGAAAATACCACTAGCCCAATGGTAAAATGCTTTGCCATTTGACTCAATCAACCCGAGTAAAATACAATGATTTCTTAAAGTAACTGTTCTTCTTCTGGATTCTTTGATATGTATATATATAGTAATTAACAAACTGTATCTTTATTTGCATTTGAAATTGACAAAAATACAGTGGTGATGAAGTTGTGTGTTGCTTGTGGGGCAATTATGCGGAGCAAGTTGAAACACATTTCGCAGATTCAAACAATGAAATGGTTATTTGCTTGATACAGTTTGCCAAGATCGGTTGGTACAGAGGTATAGCTGGTTATATAAAAATTTATACTTTATGGATTATTGAATGGTTTTATTGAATCCTTAATGTTGATCTCTATATATAGGTGAAGTACAAGTCAGCAATGCTTTTGATTCAGTCGTGGATATCAACCCAAAGTTCGAAGATGTAATTGAATTTACAAAACAGTAAGTTCATATCACTATATAAAATGGTAGTGAACTTTTTTTCCTTATATACCTAAATTTTAATAAATTGTTAATGATGTTTTGTAGGATGTTGGCCAATGATCTTCTTCTTGCTCTTATTGTGCCAAAAGACGAAAAGAAAATTGTTCAGAAGCAGAAACAAGATTGGACCGAGATTGAAGTCAGACATATATCTGAGATTTTGGTCGTGATATCACTCAAATGTTTAACCCTAAGAAGTGAATTACTCTCTCAAATATGAGGTTCAGTTGTAGTACTTAGGGATTGAATCCACATGGAACTAAGGAACACAATAGATGTAATTCTAAATGATTATGCTATGTTGATTAGGTTTAAAATAGTAAATTGCAGTTTTGTAAGCAATGATAAATTGCTTAAGAGAATGGGTTTAGGTTTAAAACAATAAAAGAAAGTAGTTAGATTCAAGGTTGTTATTCACATAATTAGGATTATAATGCTATAGATGTTTTAATGATTTGCTTGCAAGATATATGAGAACTTTGATGTTTAGATAGATCTAATAGCAATCGCTAAATAGACACATCCATTGATCTTATTGCCAGCAATATCGACCGATGTTTTGAGAGCGATATCGGACGATATGGGTTGCTGTCGATCGATGACTCTATAGAAGTATCGATCGATATAGCATAAGATCGAATCCAAACTGTGTTCACCAAGATCATAGACCGGCTCTCGCACAACCCTAGAGGATCTAAGCTCATGCCAAATGATTTCAGGACAATGATTAACAAGTTCAATCACATCCATGATCATACTCTAGGTAGCTAATCTAGAGTAAGCATTAGGGTTCATTTGGATAATGAATATCAACAATTCAACATTCCATAGTTGGGGCTAATCCCTCATAACTACTTGAACCCTAAATCTAACAAAGAAATCTACTCAGACATAGCTGAGAGACTTATAACAGCTAGGTAATAATAGAAACTCATAGATTAGAAGATTGAGCTTTTGGTTCTTGGAACAACAAATCTCTTTGTATATTTCTTCTAAATCTAGAATTCTATAACCTTTAAGAAATTAAGATGAAAAGAAATACTTTATAGAATGGAACAAAGTTACAAGAAAAGTATGCAAATCTTTTCAAGTACAAAAGTAACTAGAACAATAGAAATATTCAAAAAGCATGTCTAGCCAAACACAATGGAAAAAACTATAAATATGAGTTCCATTAGGTTAAAAACTCGTCAGGGGGATTATTGTAATATTGGGAAGACTTGGGCTTCAAGTCGGCCAAGTTGGACTTGTTCTCCACACATCATATCGATCAATGGTACATGGTGTACATCGATCGATGGAGTATCTCGACTTCATCTTCAGTAGAAGCGTCATCGATCGATTACACAGGGTGTGTATCGATCGTTATGTTTCCTTATTGTCTGATCTTCATAGTCATCTCGGAAAACTCTCCTTTAAGCTCCAAAAGGGCACCTAAATCATCACTTTACTCCAAAATGCTCTTAAACCTGAAAACATACCTAATAGACTCCAAAACATATATAAAACTCATAAAAACATATTAATACCATGGCTAAAAGCGGGTCAAATTCATGGTATATCAACTCCCCCAGACTTAACATTTTGCTTGTCCTCAAACAAACTATTAGTCTCTTTTGGAAGAAGTTTTAAAACAGTAGGGACTCAATAAAATCTTAGCTCTAAAATCATTACTTCTACTTTGTTGCGAACCACATCTCATATTACTAACTACAGAGTACATTATACCATATCCTAGCTTAGCAACCAAATGCATCTAGCCAATCAAATTAAACAATCATGTCTGTCTATCCCCTCTACTGATTTCATTTATGCATAAAATAAAGGTGTAGGCTTTACCTTGGGAGTAACGATCAAAGAACACTTGGATTCAACTCATACAAGTTTCAGTCATTCTCATCTTGGTTCATTTTCTCCTTATCCCCCTTCTCTGAATCTCAAACTTTCTTTTATATCAATCCCAATGAACAACTAATGTTCATCTTATTGATCTTTCAACTTTTGTAGTCTCTTTTTTGACAAAGTGTAGGCGAATAGTGGGGTCATAGGTAATGTACCTCTCTCTCTCGCTTCCTTAATGTGTGATCATTCCTTTGATTTAGAATAGTGGGGTAATGTACCTCTCCCTCTACCTCTCAGGAAATCATCTCAATCTTTTATTTTCTCTTTATGGGATGCCAAATGAAGGAGAGAAGGAAACCAAAATTTTTGAGACTTTTACCTTCCACACTTGCATGAGGATTCCGATCCCTTGTATACCAAGCCCCAAGACAAGCAATAGATGTCAGGTTAGGTTGGAAATCAGCTTTGGTTCTTCCAAACAATCATGAAAAGTGTTGTCAGAAGATGATCGGTGATCCACTTTAGCATATATAGTATTTTCTGCAATTAAAAATTCTAAGAATGATGCTAAAGAGTAGTAAGATAAAAAGCAAAAAAAAAAAATTGAAATATTTTTGTCCCTTTCTTGACTCAATAAAACCAAATTTTGAAAACTTTTTAAGAGATCAAAAAGGTAAAGTAGCATCAGTAATTCACTCTCCCTAGACTTAAATCATACACTGTCCTCAGTGTATAACTAGTCGGAGTTAGAGCATAGGAAATAATAAATGTGTAACTGATATCAAAATTGTGAACGATATACCTGACCGATGTTCGTATTGATCGATGGTGAGTCACTTCCATCGATCGTCATGGATAGAGTTATGTCGGGCGATGTAGGCATGGTATCATCAGTCGATAGGGGTAGTGATCGTGTAGCTATGTTCCTAAAAACAAATAAAAACGAAAGTAATAAGTAAAAATAAAATAAAACTAAGTAAGAAAATACCTAACAGTGGGTTGCCTCCCACTCAGCGCTTATTTAAAGTCATTTAGCTTGACTATGGAGGTATGGTGGCTAGTGAAGTGGGTTGCAGGTACTTGTTGGGAAACAAGTATCCTCCTTGTCTTGTGATTCTTCAAACCAGGAAGTTAAAAAGCTTATTGTGGCTTTCTCGCTTCGGGTCATACTAGCTTGCGAACGATGGACCTCATAGTGGATTCTCTGTAACCACTCCTCAATGCTTGATAAGCTGCACTTATGTCATCCAGTGTTGCTGTAAGTGTTCTCTGGATCAGTTCTCATCGGCATGGTGTTGAGGTTTTGGGTATTTTGCACAGGCGAGAGGGTGGTATCAATCGATCTCGGTGTAGTCCTGTCAATCGTTGTGGATGGGTGTCTGTCGGTCGATGGGTGCAAAGGCTCGTCGATCGATGCGGATTGGGCAGGTTGGCTCGCGAGCTGGTTCTTGATGTTTTCGATCTCCTGCTGAATATCCTCCACTATGCACTTCAAATCTTGAACGTCACCTTGTACTGGGAACCAATACTGGTCTAGTAATCTGTAATCTTCGGCTTCACAGAATTCAATAGATCTGTAGATATCTCTTGTGGCTTCTTCAAGTTCTTCTCTGGTACAGTAGTCTGGTGCGGGATTATCGATCGATGTGCTAGGTATATCATCGAACGATAGCTTCTGTAGGTGACTCTCTGTAGGTGCGTCAAAGGTCGTGTTGACCGATGTTGATGGTGCTGCATCGGTCGATGGTCGTCTCTGAGATTCAAGTTCTTTGCGAAGTGCATCCACCTCTTATTGTAAGGTTTTTCTCTCCTTGCGAGCTAGGTCATTGCTAGACGTATTCCATAGTAGTTCTCCTTGAAGTCTCGAGATGAGTTTCTCATGTTCTAAGCTCAATCCTGCTTTCTCCCAGTTGTGTGTGACCTCTGCTTGTGTGTAGAGCTTGCAATCTGGAACTCCTTTAGCATATGGTTCAGCATGCTCTGGTAAACAGAAACAAGAGCGCCCAAATAGTGAGGCTCTTTTCCGCAATTTTCCCATGTCTTCTTTGGAAACATGGATGATATCTCCGTTGACCCCTCTTGCATAACCAGCTTTATCTCTGTAGACTCCATATTCGTCTTTCTTTTCCCAAAAGAAACGACGAACTCCATTTTTGAAAGCTCTCTTCCCAAATTTGCGTTGTATATCGATCGATGCTCTCTTCCATGTACCGATCGATAGGCGTTGATCTGCTGGATTAGCTGAGTTGGAATGAATGTTTTCTGCACCATCTTGTTCCTGAGGTAGTTGGTGCTGATCGTTGCGGTGGATGGGTGGTTGTATGTAAGGACTGATTGGTCTATTAGCCATCTGAAGGATGTCTGCAACGTCTTCTTGGGATATTGGAATGATTCGTCCATCTAGTGCTCGTGCATGACCTTCTGGATCCCTGAAAATACCATATTCATCCGGAATTAGTGAAGTAAAATCAAAATTATGTGTGTGTTCCTCGGATTTGAGATCACAAACGGCTCCAACTGTGGCTAAGAAGACTCTTCCAAGTAGTAGAGAAGTCTTGAAGTTGAGCTTGTTGGCTAGTACATGGAAGTCTGTAGGAATTAGGGCATTTTCAATATGTACCTCAAGATTTCTAACTATTCCTCCAGAGTTCTGCTGACAACAATCCACAAAGATGAAGGATTCTTCAGTAGGCTCGATCTTCAGACCTAGCTGGTCGGTCATAAGCTTGGGTAGGATGCTGACTCCAGATCCTGTATCACATAGGGCACGAGGGAACTCAACACCTCTGATGGAACATGGTATTGTGAACTTCCCTGGATCGCTCTTCTTCTCCAGTGTGGTCTTCTTCTTTAGACTGTCCTGACTTGATGGAACATCATCTTTATGTCTTCTTCTGTCTCTCTTGTTTCTCTGAAAAACATCCACAATCTGTGTGAAAAATAGGCTTCTTCAAAAGGTTTATCTTTAGGTATTCTGATAACTCTTTTCCTGAAGCTTGACAATTCTTTCTCATTAGCTTCCCTTTTATAAGGCTTCGGTATCTACTCTTTCCTTTTTCTGAGAATTCTTCCATTAGTTTCCTTTTCTATCTCCATGGACTCAAAGATATTCGTGGGTCTCTCAAAAATGGCTTTCTGAGGGCTTCTAGTAGTGTAATTCTGCTCTCGGAATGCGTCAATACGTGCACCATCTATCTTGGGGAGTTGCACTCGGCGTTGGGATACCGTGTATCGGGCGACACTGACTGGAGTGCGTCGGTCAATATCATGGTCTTCCTGTCGATCGATAGGAGGGTGATCATGTCGGTCGATAATGTGCGGATCGATCTTGACAGGGACGGGCGGATGTGGGTGACGTGCTGCGAAGGCTTCATGAGGCATAGTCTGGACGGTACTGCACTCGTACGGGTACTCGTCGGAGTCCATCGGTCGATACTCGTCAAAGTCGATCGATGTATATGGGAACGTATCGGTCGATGATCAAGGGGTGATATCGATCGATAGTAGTCACGAACGAAGTCTCTCTCATCATCAGATTGCTGAATCTCTTCTACTACCTCTTGCCAAAAATCATCATCCAAGACAGCATTGATGTTATGGTTGTTGGCAAGCTCCTGCTTCTGTAGGGCTTCTACTGTCTGAAACACCTGAGTCTCCAGCTTCTTCATATGGGTGTTTAAATCATCTAACTTTGTTTGGAGGGTGTTGTAGACGGAGTCGATCTTCGCATTGAAGTCTATCTGGAGTTTCTGCTGACTCTCAAGGACCTTGTCAAGCATCTCCTCCAGTTTAGTATCTTGGGTGGGTGGGTGTGGGTTGGAGTAGAATGAGTTTCCATAGCTCCTGTTGTTGTTGGGGTTGCTGCTGCTGAAGGTGTTATGCTTCTGTGATTTCTGGTTGAAGTTGCTTCTCTGGCCTGTGTAGTTTATGTATCCTCCTTGGTTACCAGACCTCTGAAAACCAGCTCCACTGACCCAGTTCACATCTTCTTCTATATAATCTTCACCTGCAGTCTCTGCATCCTCCACTGAACAGATCTTCTTGTTTAGTAACTTCTGAATGGTATCCAGCTGTGCTTGTACTTCATTGATGTATTCCTTCCCAAGGAATGATGTAGCTTTTGTCTTCATGAAGTTCTTCGTGCTTTTATTGGAAGCTAAGTTATCAATTAGCTTCATAGCCTCTTGTGGATTCCTGGTGTTGAAGTTGCCATCACTAGCTGTATCAAGAGCTCTCTGATAATCCAATGTGATGCCTCTGTAGAAAGTGCAAAGAAGTTGCACTTTGTTGAAACCGTGGTGTGGGCAATCTCTTTGGTATGACTTGAATCTGTTCCATGCATCTTTGAATGACTCTTCAGGATTCTGAGTGAATGTAGCAATCTTTTTCCTCCAATTTTCAGCGCGTGATTCATCAAAGAAGTTATGCAAGAATGCGTTCTTGATGTCATTCCAGGTTGTGAGAGAACCTGGTAGTAGTTGTCTAAGCCACTGCAAAGCTTCTCCAGATAGAGAGTACTTGAAAAGCTTACAGAGAAGATAGTCTTGAGGGACTCCATTGGCTTTTATGACGGTTCTGAGATCCTCGAACCTCTCCAGATGGTCCATAGGATGCTCTTTGGACAACCCACAGAAGGGTATTTGTCCTACAAGGATGTAGTACTGCGGCTTAAGCTCGAAATCTCCTCTCTGAATAGCGGGAGGGCAGATGGCTGCTCGGTTGAATAAAAATGATTTGGACTGTTATAGTCAGCCAAAGATCTAGCTTGGTTAGCCTCTTCTACAGGTTGAATGATGTCTGTAGGTGCAGTCTCTTGCTAAAGTATGATCTCCTTCTGAGCGTTCAGATTCTGACCTAATGCATTACGCAGGTGACCATCTTGATCACGCAGGTCTCCATTCTCATCGGTAGTGAGAATAATAGGCGCTACCATGTCTCACCGGTTAGTATCGATCGATGTAAGATGAGGTATATTGATCGATGTTGGATGAAAGGTATCGGTCGACGAACGGTTGTTGATGTCGAGCGATGTGACGGTGAGAGTATCGGTCGACGTTGAAGGTGTCTCGGTCGACTGTGGTAGGCAAGTATCGGTCGACATGGATGTGTTGATGTCGATCGATGAGGAGCGTAGGTCTTTGCGGATGCTACGTTCCAAGCCGTGAGGATCTTCTGAGTATAAAAGGTGTTTGTTCTTGTTGCTTCTAGTACTGCTGGGCATGTACCTGAAAAAGACAAGAAATTTTTTTTGGTGTCAGAAGATAGTTTAAACAATAAAAGAAAAGTAACCTAGACCTAATCAGATTAAATCTAATGTTTATCAAAGTTCCCCGGCAACGGCGCCTAATTTGATATCACTCAAATGTTTAACCCTAAGAAGTGAATTACTCTCTCAAATAAGAGGTTCAGTTTTAGTACTTAGGGATCGAATCCACATGGAACTAAGGAACACAATAGATGTAATCCTATATGATTATGCTAGGTTGATTAGGTTTAAAATAGTAAATTCCAGTTTTGTAAGCAATGATAAGTTGCTTAAGAGAATGGATTTAGGTTTAAAACAATAAAAGAAAGTAGTTAGATTCAAGGTTGCTATTCAGATAATTATGATTATAATACTATAGATGTTTTAATGAATTGCTTGCAAGATATATGAGAACTTTGATTCTTAGATAGATCTAATAGCAATCGCTAAATAGACACATCCATTGATCTTATTGCCAGCAATATCGACCGATGTTTTGAGAGCGATATCGGACGATATGGGTTGTTGTCGATTGATGACTCTATAGAAGTATCGATCGATATAGCATAAGATCGAATCAAAACTGTGTTCACCAAGATCATAGACCGCCTCTCGCACAACCCTAGAGGATCTAAGCTCATGCCAAATGATTTCAGGACAATGATTAACAAGTTAAATAACATCCATGATCATACTCTAGGTAGCTAATCTAGAGTAAGCATTAGGGTTCATTTGGATAATATCAACAATTCAACATTCCATAGTTGGGGCTAATCCCTCATAACTATTTGAACCCTAAATCTAACAAAGAAATCTACCCAGACATAGCTGAGAGATTTATAACAGCTAGGTAATAATAGAAACTCATAGATTAGAAAATTGAGCTTTTGGTTCTTGGAACAACAAATCTCTTTGTGTGTTTCTTCTAAATCTAGAATTCTATAACCTTTAAGAAATTAAGATGAAAAGAAATAATTTATAGAATAGAATAAAGTAACAAGAAAAGTATGCAAAGCTTTTCAAGTACAAAAGTAATTAGAACAACAGAAACATTCAAAAAGCATGTCTAGCCAAACACAATGGCAAAAACTATAAATATGAGTTCCATTAGGTTAAAAACACGTCAGGGGCATTATTGTAATATTGGGAAGACTTGGGCTTCAAGTCGGCCAAGTTGGACTTGTTCTCCACGCATCATATCGATCGATGGTACATGGTGTACATTGATCGATGGAGTATCTCGACTTCATCTTCAATAGAAGCATCGATCGATTACACAGGGTGTGTATCGATCGATATGTGTCCTTATTGTCTGATCTTCATAGTCATCTCGGAAAACTCTCCTTTAGGCTCCAAAAGAGCACCTAAATCATCACTTTACTCCAAAATGCTCATGAACCTGAAAACATACCTAATAGACACCAAAACATATATAAAACTCATAAAAACATATCAATACCATAGCTAAAAGCGGGTCAAAATCATGGTATATCAGGTCGCCACTGAAGTAATTAGCTAATCTTTTTCATTCTTTTTTACTTTTTTTTTAAATATGTAGTAGATATCAATTACATGTGTATATAATATACATGCAGGTTGACAGTTGCAAAATCATTTGTTCAATTGAATTATTTGATACAGATTGGGGTTGGTTCAACTTTGGTTGTAACAGACATAACCGACGAGTTATTAAACAAGGGTCCAAACTGAAGAGTGTTGGTACTGGAAAGAGTAATGAAGTCCAAAAACCTCTTTTTTACTGTGACATATGTCGTGCATTCACAAATAAGGTATCACCAAAGTAAGTATTGTAGGGTAGTCCATATCTATAATTACATTTTGATTCAAAACTTTCTAACTATACATGTGCAAGCTCAGGTACAAATTTCATTTGTTTGTGAAAGATGATAGCGAGTCGTGCATAGTTATGTTGCTTGAGTCTGTTGCCCAATCTATTATTGGTAACACTGCAACGGATCTTTGGGACAGTTCATCTAATGAGATTTTTTTTTATTATTACCTATTTTGTAAATCATTACAACATTCGTATTGCCGTACTATAAATTTTGCATGTTTTCACGTAAATTGAAGATCCAAGTATCTTACCTGAGCCTATTGAAAATTTAGTTGGAAAATCCATTTGTTTGGGTATCTCCATAAGTAATGACAATGTAATCAATGGATTCAACACTTTTAAGGTGTCAAACGTGTGGTCTGGAGATACGATTCAAAAAATTGAATCTCAAACAGAGCAAACTTCTTATCTTGAGACAGTTTCATCAACTCTTTCTGGTGGAGAGGTAATTTAGTTTGTTCCTTATAAATTACACTTAAAAATAGCTTGAAATAATCTTTCTGACTCCGTTGATGATGCACAGCTTTCAGGAGTGGATCCAAACAAAGAAACTTCATCTGAGGGTTTGTCAACAACATTTTCGAAGCGCAAAGAAGAAGATGCTGATCTACTTGACATGACATCTACGTCTAAGAAATTGTGCACTAAGATGATCAAGTTGGAGAAGATAACGACTGATGCTTAGTTTGAGCACTGATCTGTGCAAGATATTGGCTAAGGGGATTTGAGTTCTTAGAAAGTAAGTTCATTTGAATTTGGTTCTTTGTACTTTGAAACTGATAATCGAATTTTATTAGATAATGAGGTGGATTTTGAACGCTTGGTCCAAGGTCAAGTCTTGGAGGAATTTGAAGAAGAAGTTATGGAAACAGGTCAAGTTAATGTGTAAGTTCTCACTGATCAATTGATGTCAAGACTTTTAAGTTAAGTATGTTTGTTGTTGTTTTATAAAAACCTGTGGGGATGAGCTAAGATTGGTATGTTTGATAGACTCCCATTTAGACATTAGCATTCCACTACAGGAAATATGTGTATTAACCATGTTAATTTATGTTTGGTCTGTGCAAGATATTGGCGTCTTTCGTGTTATGTATCCCTGTTTTTTTCATACAGACGATTAAGTCCTTTACCCAGCTACTACAGGTTAGTGTTTGAGATGTGATCTTTCTCTTTGTTAATTATTGTTCGAACCGAGTTCGGTCTTATCAGTAAGAGAGTGACTGGACTTGTTTGTGGATTATTTCAAAGACGTTTTACTATTTATGAGTGGAAGAGTTAGTTTATTGATGTAAGAGTTGGTGTACAAATAAGGAAATAAGCGAGACGAGACGGGGTTGCTCGGAGAGCTCGGCCGTGAGAGTACAAGTCGGAAAAGTACAAGGAGGTGAAAACCCTAGTTCTAGCCGCATTGCCATTGAGTGCTTAATTTTGGATCCCCTTCTTGTTACCCTCTCTCTTCCTTTTATAGCAGCATTCCTTTGACCTAGCGAGCTGGTCGCTTGTACGGAGGGCCTTTCGCAAGATGGGCCTTGCTCGGCCCGCTAAGGTAAGTACCTCACCTAAGCATCGTTAACTCGTTTAATCGTGGGGATTATCCGAGTTAAGCTAAATTGGTCGCTAATCAACGAGATGTTACCTCGTTGGGCTGGGGCCCGCGTGGGCCGAGCCCATTATTCAGTGGACCTTATAAAGGGGAGTATTCCACCACCTACAGTAAGTCCCCCAGATCCGCTGACGAGTTATGACTTAAGTTGGGCCGGATTTTGTTGATTTGGTCCGTTAAATAATAGGGTCGGTTAGTGCCCTCCGATGTTCTTTCGAGCGATAATTCGTGGCTCGGATGCCAACATGCTCGCTGAGTCGTCAGCTCAGAGCTTCGGTTTCGGCATGCTTGCTGAGTCGTTAGCTCAGAGATTATCTTCGGCATGCTTGCTGAGTCATTAGCTCGGAGATTAGCTTCGGCATGCTTGCTGAGTCGTTAGCTCGAAGATTAGCTTTGGCGTGTGTGAGGGGTAAAACTCACTTCCTAGTTTAGGTTAGGTATAGGTTGGGAAAAGATAATCGTGGGCTGAATCCTGTTGGAACTTGTATGAATGAATACGTTGTTTATATTGATTTTCGGTAATAAAAGAGTTTACAAAGATGATCTCCACGATCTGAATAGAAAGAACAATGATTTATATAGAATGACTAAGAACAAAGTGTATTGGAGTCTCTCTCTCTTGAATGAGTCCCATACCTCTCTCCGATCTCTTCTCTTCTTTATATAGCACTAGGTCACGTTCAACTTCTTCCGGCGAAGCCTCCATGATTATCTCCGTGAGTTGCGGGATTTGCAACAGCTTCCTCTTGACTAAGTCTTGCACGTTTCCCCGGAGCTGTTTCTCGTTAGCTGTTTTGTAAACGAGGCCCCGAGTCTTTTGTCTGTGACCTGTTTTTACCGATAGGTAACGATTTCATTTGATCCTTGTTTGAGGGAAGGCTTCCTAATGGGCTCGTAATGCCTCATAAATGGTTTCAACTATTCGGCCCATTAATTCAGCTAACGGGCTAAATTCGGGCCCAACAGTTGCCCCCAGCTTTCGAGATAAGATCTCTTTTCTCGGAAGCTACAGCGTAACCGCCTGACCTCTTGTTCCTCGAGATAATGATTACACTCAAAGAATCGCGTGACCTTAATTCTACGGCCCGGATTTCGTTTGGTTAAATCAACGGTAGGGATTAATATATTTTGAATAATTTCAACTCCGATTTTCGAGGCTGGACGTGATATAAAGCTGCGGTTATTAACTGCGCTGTTTCTCCACCACCCCACGTCTCGATTTGATTCCCCAGGTAACTGTTCACTTTCTTCTTTATTTTAC